CAAAATTTTGTGGAAGTATATTTCATGTGTGAGTGCCTAAGGAACTGTGCGCTGCGGAAGTTCACCTCCACGTGCTGCACTGGTGATGCTCTGTTTCGAGCAGAAGCTGCAGCAGCCGAGTGCCTCCCTGGGGCTTCGGCGCTCCTGTTCGGCTGCTGTGAGGGGACTCTTCACAGGAGGGAGAAAGAGAGGTTGCCGTGGGCCTTGGCAGCACCGAGTGTCTCCACGCCAAAGACATTTAAGGTTCAGACGGGAGTGGGACTGGCTGCCCGTGCACAAGAGCCTGCACTGGTCTGCGCTGGTGCGTCTGTGCACCGTACTTCAATCCAATCTTCAGTTATTAAAGAGCAGGGAAGGGCAGCCGCGGGAAAAGCGATTGCACCGTACGTCGTACATTCCTTTACATCAAAGTGGAGCTCCCAGAGCTGTCCCGGAGTGGTTCAGGCTCTCGCTCCGATTTCATTTCCTCAGCTTCAGCTGTGGGAAACTCCTCTGCCCAATTTCACTTGTGCAACGGTTTGTTCAAATCTGTCAATTGACATTCATGCATTTGTGGTGATGCTTGTAGTGATTCACTAAAAGTTGACATCCGCTGGGTAAATGCCTTTTCTTGTAGCTCGTGCTTGTGTGCATATGCACGTACATGAGTGAACGATCTTGGCTACTTCTTAAACCAACGTGATAATGAAAACTATAAAAGAATCAAAATACTACTACTAATAAAAAGCTTTTTTTCTAGGATTAGAGAAATAGTTAGAAAGAAGTGGAGCTGGAAGAAGGTTGATGTGATTTCCCTATTAAGAGAGAACATAAACCCAAGGTGCATTAAGTGTTGTTTCCCAAGCGTGCTGCTCCACGTCCAGCTGCTCCCTGTTCGAGTGACAGAACCCAAACAGCAATTTGTTCGTGGCAGTTTCGTCAGCAGCTAATTGGCCTTCCAGAGACGTCGCTTCAGGGATCAGAGTTACCACCGACAGGACAGGAGGAAATGGCCTCAAGTTGCGCCAGGGGACGTTTAGGACAGACGTTGGGAAAAACTTCTAGACTGAAAAGGGTTATCAAAGGCTAGAAGAGGCTGCCCAGGGCAGTGGTTGGTGGCCATCCTTGGGTGTATTTAAAAGCCGTCTAGATATGGTGCTCAGGGACTTGGGTTAGAAGTGGTCCTGGAAGAGTTAGGTAACAGTTGGACTCGATGATCTTAAAGGGCTTTTCCAGCTATAACGGCTCTATGATTCTATGGTTATTTCATGGCAAGAGCAGAAGAGTCGAGAGCTGGAAATGCTGAGACCTCCTGTGCCGCTCAGCAGCGTTGCGCTCAAAGGCTCCCGGCACGTGGTTGTCCAGAGTGCCCTGAGCCCAGCGCCAGCTGTGCGCCTGCAGAACATGGCCACCGCCAGATGTTCACCCTCAGAACATGGCCAGCACCAGCTGTGTATGTGCGGAATGTGGCCACTGCCAGATGTGCACCCACAGAACGTGGCCAGCACCAGATGTGTGCCCACAGAAAGTGGCCAGCGCCAGCTGTGCCCCTGCAAAAGCCGACCCAAAGCTGCGCTGTTCCGGCTGCCTTTAAATTGCTGCCAAATCAGTGATGTGCAAAGGAACATTTGCTGCAGAGGGGATGTCTCAAGGTTCCTTTCGTCCGCTGTGAACATATTTCCAGGAGGTACGCTAACATTTTGGTTTAAAACCCTTCTAGATATGGTGCTCAGGGACTTGGGTTAGAAGTGGTCCTGGAAGAGTTAGGTAACAGTTGGACTCGATGATCTTAAAGGGCTTTTCCAGCTATAACGGCTCTATGATTCTATGGTTATTTCATGGCAAGAGCAGAAGAGTCGAGAGCTGGAAATGCTGAGACCTCCTGTGCCGCTCAGCAGCGTTGCGCTCAAAGGCTCCCGGCACGTGGTTGTCCAGAGTGCCCTGAGCCCAGCGCCAGCTGTGCGCCTGCAGAACATGGCCACCGCCAGATGTTCACCCTCAGAACATGGCCAGCACCAGCTGTGTATGTGCGGAATGTGGCCACTGCCAGATGTGCACCCACAGAACGTGGCCAGCACCAGATGTGTGCCCACAGAAAGTGGCCAGCGCCAGCTGTGCCCCTGCAAAAGCCGACCCAAAGCTGCGCTGTTCCGGCTGCCTTTAAATTGCTGCCAAATCAGTGATGTGCAAAGGAACATTTGCTGCAGAGGGGATGTCTCAAGGTTCCTTTCGTCCGCTGTGAACATATTTCCAGGAGGTACGCTAACATTTTGGTTTAAAACCCTCGTCAGCAAGGAGGGAGGCTGTACAGGCGCGATGTTGCAGCCGTGCCGCGCAGGGCTGGCTCGCAGCACGCTGTGGGAGCGGAGAACCGACCGCCACGGATATCCCAGGGGAACAGCAGCGGGAGAGACGGAGTGATGGCAAAACACAGAGCAAAGAAACTACACGTCATCTTTCTTCGGCCGTGTTTTAGAGCTGGAGAATATATTGGCAAAGTGTAATTTCAGCCAGGTGCCCCATTTGTGCCTCCAGACCTCCAAGAGCGGTGCGTGCGAGAAGCATCCCCGCTGCTCGGCTGTGCTCTCGCCGTGTCGGCGTTCCTCTCGCGGGGCTCTGTCGTGGCGAGTGCCGCCGTTTGCCGGTGCCAGCGGCCGCCTCCCGCCTCTCCAGCGGGACCGCCGCCGGGGGGGGGG